CTTTAAGACCCTAGGCGCTATATATTTTGATAGCCGGGCACCATCAGCTTTCTTCACCACATTTGCTTATGCATCCGCTTTGTCTTCAGTGATCCTGTTGGGAAGGTGAGCATCATGGAATGCCAGTTTCATGGAACACAGTGTTCTTGCATTGAGGGAGTACTTGAGTGGAGGCCCAATGTCCATACTAAACCTATAAATATATGTACATAGATCCATTTCCCCATTGTCATATGTAAACGTATTTACATATGTACATGCTTATATTTAGACCTCTATAAATGCCCTCTGGGGAGGCATTCTTGACAACAGATTGTGCTTTAGTCTATATGGATTTTCTAAAATCACAGATGAGCTTAAAATTGGAGGAAAATTTCTCTTTTCATGTTTTAGATTCTGTCTGAATTTTTATGTTACTTTTCTAGTGCTGTAAGCAAGTAGAAGAGTAAGAAAAGTCATAGGCTACCTATCATGTACCTCTTTTGCTCTGCTTAAGGCTAGGTGGGCTTAGCACTACCCCAAATATCATACTTATTATAAAAATTTGAATGAATTTTATTTATGCATAATTTGAAAGTCAATTTTACTTGAATAATTCTTTCTCCTGTTCTTTCTATCTCTTCATTCGATAAATAATGTATAAAAATTACATTTATAATTTATACCATTTCCATACCTTGCCTATAATCTCTTCATTTTATGTGAAAATCTTTAATGACAGTATTTACAAATGTATTTTTAACATATTTGGTATTTTGTTTTATATTTTTACATCCCACCATCTCCACAAATGGAGATGAAAGCGTGTGTATGTGTGTGTGTGTGTGTGAGTGTACATAAAAAAGCCTTCATTTAAATTTTCATTTGTGGTTGTTAAGTGGAGAGATTCTTGGGGTGATTAGGGACATCATCAGGATGTTTAAAGATCCATGGAACAACATGTTCAAAAGCCAAGAAATAAGAACTACTAGATGGAGCATATTAGCCCAACTTGTAATTGGCACAATTGGTAACGGCACTCTAAGGTTGAAATATAAGCTGTTCGTTATACTTTGAGGGCTAGGACTAAGGTTGGCTAAGTGATTTTGCTGCGGAACATTGGCTAAGAATTACACCTGATTATGCAGGCTTTAAAAATAGGTGGTTGCAGCCCAGATAGAATTGATTATTTGTTCTGAATTCAGGTAACTTTTAGAAGAAGTAGACGTCCGGGTTTTTGTGTAAAAATAAGGTTTACAGGCCTACGAGGTGTTAGAATTTTCTTTTTCTATTTCGGCTTTGGAGTTAACAGGAGGATAATAAAGGGCAATAAACTACCTGTTTCCAGGCTTCCGTGGACTGTGAAGTGCAC